CGAGCAGGGGAGGGGCAGACACACACACACAAACACACACACAGAATCTGAATCTGAAGCAGGTTCCAGGCTCTGAGCTGTCAGCACAGAGCTGAAGTGGGGCTCGAACCCACCAACTGTGAGATCATGGCCTGAGCCACCCAGGCACCCCTTTTTTTCATTTAAATTTTATTTATTTACCTTTTGAAAAGGCAACATTTCTTGGATCAAAATTCAAAAAAGCATACATTAGAAATTCTGTCTCCTATCCTTGATTCTCAAACAGTTTCCCTTCCCTGAGCAAAGAGTTTCCTGTGGTCTTTTTAGATATCGGTTTAGGCATATGCAAGCAAGTATGTATTTTTCCTTCTGTATAAAAATTTTAGCATACTATGGACACTCTTCTGATTCTTGCTTTTTTTTTTTTTCAGTTAAAAATATGTCTTGGAGGTCTTTTCGTATCAGTGTCTGAACAATTTTCTCATTGTTTCAAGTCTTCTGGAAAGCAGGTGCCAAGATGGGATTAGACATGCAAGAGACTTACTAAAGGAAATGCCTTTGAGAGAGAAAAGGAGGCAGCTGGAGATGAATCAGATAGTGATGCTGATCTGAGCCCTGTGAAGGATGGAAGGAAGGCATGAGGGTTGGGGTAGGCAGGGACTAAGACTGCACCATAGTTCTAAAAAAGTTTCAGATGGGCTTAAACCTGGGGATTCCTTAAGACAAAGTCACACATCAGAGGAATCCTGTATCCTGCAGGAGTGGACCTTTGTGAACTTCCTGCTGTGGTCAGTCATTGGCTGGGAGCAGCCCATGGAGAGTTTGGCCTCATTGAAAATGCAGTGCTAGATTCAGGGCTTAGAAGCTGGACCCTCCCTTCAGGGAAGACATCTGGGAGGAATATTTCATAGCCTTCATATTATTTTTAGGGCTGCATAATAATCCAATGAAGGATGTGCCATACTTTGTCCATTATGAGAGACATATCACAGTATCTACCACAAGGAGTATAATTGTAGGAAACTACTATGTGGTTTTGATAGAGGCTGCCAAGGGGCACCTGGGTGGCTCAGTCGGTTAAGTGTCCGACTTCGGCTCAGGTCATGATCTCGTGGTTCACGAGTTCGAGCCCTGCGTCGGGCTCTGTCCAGACATCTTGGAGCCTGGAGCCTGCTTCCGATTCTGTGTCTCCCTCTCTCTCTGACCCTCCCCCCATTCATGTTCTGTCTCTCTCTGTCTCAAAAATAAATAAACGTTAAAAAAAATTAAAGAATGATAGAGGCTGCCAAGATCAAAATCTAATGTATATATTGGTATATATTTTGTGAACGTGTATTCCACCAGCAAGGCAGGAGACTGTTTCCTCATATCCTTAGTAACACAGCGTGTGGTCAAGCTTTTTTTTTTTTTTAAAGTTTATTTATTTATTTTGAGATAGAGAGAGAGGCAGGGAGAGGGAGAGAGAATCGCAAGCAGGTTCTTTGCTGTCAGCACAGGGCTCAATCTCATCAACTGTGAGATCATGACCCGAACCCAAATCAAAAGTTAGATGCATAACTGACTGAGCCATCCAGGCACCCAAAACTTTTTATTTTTTTTTAGTTAACCTTTTCATAACCTACATTTGATTTTTTACTTACACATTTTCCTACCTTCCACTCACTCCCTAGTACATATTCATTAAGCCCTGGCTCTGCAATTTACTAGTTGTCTCAGTTTGTTCATATGTAAAATAAGAATTCTAAGTCAACATACCTAATAGGAATATTTTGAGGATAAAATGAATGCAAAACTCCATGTTTAAAAACAGCAACCAACAGGGGCACCTTGGTGGCTCAGTTGGTTGGGCCTCCAACTTCGGCTCAGGGCATGATCTCAGGGTTTGTGGGTTTGAACCTCGCGTCTGGCTCTGTATTGACAGCTCAGAGCCTAGAGCCTGCTTCAGAATTTGTGTCTCCCTCTCTCTCTGCCCCTCTCCTGCTTGCATTCTGTGTGTCTCTCTCTCAAAAATAAATAAACATTTAAAAAAATTAAAAAAAAAACCCCAGCAACCAATGGATAAACATTCTCCACACTCCACCGTCACATACTGATGATTTCCAAATCTATACAGACTTTTTGTTGGCAGGTACAAATATTCATCTACTTACTTGTTATTTCTTTTTTTAAATGTTTATTTATTTATTTTCGGGGGGGGAGGGAGAGAGAGAGAGAGAGAGAGAGAGAGAGAGAGAGAGAGAGAGAGGAGAAGCACGCTGTCACAAAACATGAGATCATGACCTGAGCTGGAATCAAGTGTCAGATGCTTAACTGACTGAGCCGTCCAGGCACCCCAATACTTACTTGTTATTTCCATCTTGATGCCCCACAAGCACTTCAATTACAACATGCCCCAATGAAACTCATCATTTTTCTCTTAAAAATTGCTCCTATTCCTTTATTTCCCTTATTGTTGAAGTCAAAACCCTGTAAGTCATTTCAGATTATTTTCTCTCCCTTAAACCCACATTTAATTAATCCTCAGGTTCTGTTGAGTTTGATTCATAAATAATTCTGGTATCTGTCTTTTTCTTATGATCAGCACTGCCACTTGATGGTTTAATCTCTGTATTTTGTAAGTATTAAGGGAATAGCTTCTTTTTCTTCTTCTTTTTGTTTTTAAATAGCTCCATAATGAATGTGGGGCTTGAATTCAAGATCCTGAGATCAAGACTCACATGCTCTCCCAACTGAGCCAGCCAGATGATCCAAGGCAGTAACTTCTTACTGTTCTCACCTTCTTCCAATCTATCCTGAACACTGTTGTCAGGAGGAGTTTTTGAATCACGACACTGATTATATTACTCTTTAGCTCAAGAGTCTTCAATGGTTTCCTATTGCCTATAGAATGATGAAATCTAAAACTTCCACTAGTCATATATATATATATATATCTATATATATCTATATATATATCTTCATAATTTGACCTCTACTTATCTGTCCAATCTCTTCTTAGATATCCCCTTTCCCTGCTTTAATCTGTAACATTCAAACTAGTTGCATTTCTCAGAATATATCATGTTCTCTCATGATATATGATTCAGCCATCCTGCCTTAAATAATTTCTGCTCCCTACTTGCCTACTTGCCCTTCACATAAAGTACTTTAAATTTTGGCTCAAAATTTCCCTCTGTTGTGAAGCCTAGCTTGACTCCTCTAGAATTCTTCCTATTCTACTATTGTTCTCTGTACCCACATAGTTTATTTTTAATTTGCTTGCATGTTTATTTCTTCAATAGGTTTTAGTTCTCCGACGGAAAGAGACCCATTTTCATCTGGTATCTCCAGCACTTATCATAGTTCCTGGAAATAAGAGACACTCATATACTCAGATATTTTCGATTGACTTCACGATCTGAGTTAGTTTCTCAGGAAATTTACTGTTGTAAATAAATGATCTCCCCAACACTCCAAGTTTTCCAGGTTTCTGCCAAAACCTAGCATGCAGGTCACTACTAATTCTCCTTACCACTTTATTTTTATTATTATTAACTTTTTAAATGTTTACTTATTTTTGAGAGAGAGAGACAGAGCACGAGCAGGGGAGGGGCAAAGGGAGAGGGAGACACAGAATCTGAAGCAGGTTCCAGGCTCTGAGCTGTCAGCACAGAACCAGATGCCAACCGAACTCGAACTCACCAACCATGAGATCATGACCTGAGCTGAAGTGGGAAGCTTAACCTTAACCCACTGAGCCACCCAGGTGCCCCTCCTTATCACTTTAGATAAAAGTGACCATTTCCTCCTTTTGCTCTCAATAAATGTGGTATATTAGTCTTATCCTAGCACCAATCATGTTTAGGATTGTATCCCAAGCATCTGACACGTTAAGTATGCAACAATTAAATGAATCAATGTTCACCTTGATGAAGGAAACTTTCTTAAACATTCTAGGAGAACGTCATCATTATGCATAGACCGTAAAAAATCTTTTACAATCCAACCCTGATGATTGTTTTTAAAACGATGCATCCTGGCACTTTAATTGTCCTTAGACAGATGGCCAAACCTTGGCTATGGGAACCGCACAGTGTAGGAGGAGACCATGACTAGAGCGCGAGGGAAAGGATGATTGGCTGCTAGGGTTCAGAAGTTCTCCTCAGACGGATGCTAGAACTAGGAAACCGCTGATGGTTCAGTTTTTGAAATACCGTTTTTGCATCGTAAAGAAAAAAGATTAACCTATCAGGAACAACCGAGCACATCCAATTACCAATCAAGAACGGGAAAGGAGCCAAAGCCTGGGGATACCCACGCACCAAGGAGGACGTCATTCTCTAAGTCTCAGCCAATGAGAGATTGGGCGACGGGGGCGGGGCAACGGGCGGACCAATTGCCACAGAAAAACAAACAATCTGCAGCACAACTGTCCTAACCACAGCCCTCGCCTCTCAAACCACTGGAGCAAACTCCTGAGCAAAGCACTTGTTAAATACTTTACACTTTCCTTCTAGCCCGGGGGCAGTTACACTGGAGTACCTTCCTCATACTAGAACAAGGGCCTTCTTTCCACCAGCTCGCAAAGACTCGCAGAAAGAATACAGTAACTTTGAGCTTTCTACCTTCACAGGAACTGGCAGTCCGGAGCTACCTGAGGGGGAGGGGCAGCCCCAGTGCGCAGGCGTGCATGCCTTGTGGAGGCGGGGCTGTAGCGGCCCAAAGCATCCTGGGTGCTGTATTTCTTTTGCTGGCAAAACTGAACTGCTCCTGTAGCCTCCGGAACTACATTTCCCCGCAGCTCCCGCGGCCTCGAGGTGGGCGGGATGGTTGGTTAATGAGCTCGAGGAAGCCGCGGCGCGGCCCACCAGGTTCCAAAACAAGGAAATGAAGGGGGGAGGCGGGACTGGGGCTGCCTGCGGGAGCCGCCGCCGCCGCCGCCGCCGCCGCGGAGGAGGAGGAGGAGGAGGTGGAGTAGGTGGCTGCCGCGGCCGCCGAGGAGTCCCTTGCTGAAGGCGGACCGCGGGGCGGCGGGCGGCGCGCGCGCGCCCGAGAGGCGGCTGTTGGAGAAGTGGAGCGGCGGTCGCGGGGGGAGGAGGAGGAGGAGGGACTGAGCGGCGGCGGCCCCCGCGTCCCGGTGCCTCTATGGGGAAAGCAGACAATGGATTATGATTTCAAGGCGAAGCTGGCGGCGGAGCGGGAGCGGGTGGAGGATTTGTTTGAGTACGAAGGGTGCAAAGTGGGACGCGGCACCTACGGGCACGTCTACAAGGCGAGGCGGAAAGATGGGTAAGAGCAGGGGCGGGGGGAGTAGGCTCGCTCGGGTCCTCGCCCTGCCCGCGACCGCGCGGGATGGGTGGGTTGGAGCCGGGTCGGGCCGTTCCCGAAGGGCGAGGCGGAGGTGGTCGCGGGGCCGCGTCCCAGCGCGGACTGAGGGACGCGGGTTCGGACTGCCCTCCCCGCGCGGCCCCGTCGCGCCCCTCGAACTCCAGCGGCAGCAGCCTAGTCGGGGGGCGTCGGTCCGGTTCCGGAGGGCGCCTTCCGCGTGCATGGAGCTGGCGGCGGGACTCGAGTTGGGACCTCGGCTGGAGGTGGAGTTTGTGGGGTCTGGTCTCTTGGGGAGACGCCAAGGGCTGGGAGAGCTTTGCCGAGTTGCCGCTCCGGCCCTGGGCTGGTGACGGTCGTTGTGGAACTTCCAATCGGCTAAGCGCCTCCCGGGGGCGGCGGTTTGAAACCTAGCGGAGGAGCTGGTCGGGCGGCTGGGGTCTTAGCCAGACTCTAGGGTCTGACCCACCGCGCATCTCTGCCCTTGGGGCCAGCCAGCCCATTGGCTTCTCAGCGTAGTCCCGCGTCCCTGTCTATACCCGGCGACTTCTGGATCCCTGCTCATTCGCCCCCGATTTCGCTTTTTCACATTCTGAATTCCGCACTTTAACTCGAATGTAGGACCTCCTCGGAGACTAACCGCGTTTTGCCCGCAGAACTTCAGAGTTCGCCTAGTTTTTTGGTAACTCGTATTCTTCCCCCCCCCCCCCCGTTGGATATTCTTATGCTTTCCACTCCATCCCCTGGCTAAATGACTGCGTGCTGGGGTTTATCCAGCACCTAGATTATCCGGAACGGAATGCAGAGTGACAGAGATCTGGGCCTGAATCTTTGTTTACCTGGGATTTGAGGGAGAACCTTAGTAACCTCTTAGGAAGCCTTTATTGATTGTTCTCTTAGGAGATGGCGAGCTGGATTCTGTATTGAGAACGCCTATCCTTCGTCCTGTAGGGCAGACGGGCTCTAGGACAGGTGGAACCAGCTGCCGGCGAAGGGTAGGTTTAAACCAATCACCTGCTCACCGCCCTTCCTGGGAGGAATTCTCCTCCCCTAGAGTAAGGGAGCCCAGGAACATTTATCTACCTGTCCCGCTTAGATTTCAAAGACGGTCAAAAAGTATGAGAAAGAGAGTTTTTAGCATCCTAGCGGAACATTTCTGAATAAAGTGAATATCAGTCACAATGACATTAGTAAGATTTGAAATGCTGCCTAACGTTCTGCGCACTCTGTTGTAATTGATATAGTTGATTTATGAACTCGAGGACGAAAGTTGTTAAGGTGTGTGTGCTAATTTCATAGAGAATGAAAACACAACTTTACAAATTGTTTTATCATAAAGTATGGTGAAAATCACAAGGTACTATACACGTGTAAAGGATTGTTACTGCAAGTAGTTTTGGTCTTATAACTGAAAGGGCTCCATAGTAGTCAGTTGTAAACTTCTCTCATAATTCTTTTAGTTAATTGCCAGGTGTCCTTGAATGAGTATCTTGGAATTTCAGGTCCATTAAAATTAACTTGTATTTTGTTTTTGGAATATTTACTTGTTATACTGGTGTTTCTGTGGGAATATTATCAGATATATTTGGGGAAAGCACATCTAGTTTTCCGATTTGGACATTGGCATTACAAAACAAATTATATGTGGTGTTTTTCATACTCCTCATGCTAACTTTATAATGTACTTGATTTGAAATTTTTTAAATGTATTTTCTTTTTTTTTGTTGTTAAAATAACTTCCTTTTTAGTAGGCAACTTTTAAGAAAAATCTGCTTCTGAATTGTATTTTGATAGCATGGGATAAAACAAAAAGCATAATTTAATTCCTGCTTCTAATTGTTCTTTTTGAATATTTTCCCCTCTAATAAAGTTTTTGATTCGACTGCACTTTCTTGAGTGAAATTTGTTTGATTAGAACTAATAAAGTTTCTTTAATAGAGTAAGATCAGTCTGTGTATCTTCAAAATATGCTTTTTAAAGAAATTTTTAGGATCTGAAAGCATTAGTTGATATCACTATATTCTAAGAAAAATCATTATAAAGGTAGGTTTCCTTGGACTAGGGGTCTAGTTGAGATTTGAGGCTTTATGTTAATAGCACATCTCTTGTGGGTTGGTAGCAATGATTTTAAAGAACAAAAAGTTTTTAAAGTTTTTGGTGATGGTTCTAAATTGTGATGCAGATTTGCATAGTAAAGATTTTACACTCTGATCATGGTTAGTTACAGTTTAGCTCTTTCCGGAATTTATTTTGGTTAATTCAGAAAAAGATGTATAATGCTACTTTAGGGAGCAAGAAAGAAATCATGTGCGTACATTTAAGAGAAGTTATTCTGATGTATATAATGTAGTATATAACCAAAATCATTTGGGTCTTTTGAAGAAACACTGGAAGAAGTAATGTAACTTACAAAAGAAAAGCCTCTGTTTATAGTTTAGTACTACCTTTTAAAAAAAATCTTAGAGTGATATTTCCATTAAAATAATGACTTTAACTTGGGCTGTGTTAATTATACTATGTAAATTTGTGACAGTGGAAATGAAAGATTACATTTGGGTTTTTCACCTTTAATAAAAATGTCATTTGTTCTTTTTGTTTTGAAGGAAGAGAATCTTTTGACCCAACCATCCTTTTTAAATAAATCAGGCTTAAATGTTATTCCTGAGAAACAAGTTCGGAATATTTCTAGACTTTTTAGTATGAACAAGAATTTGTAATAGTTTTCCTTTTAAAATTTGTAAAAAAGGATATATAACAGTTTATGGTTACAAATCTCAAGACCATATTCCTCAAATTTGAAAAACTTTGCTTTGATTGATAAAGGAATATTTTAAAAGGTTCTTTTGTCAATAAGAGAGTCAAACAAACATGATTCCATAGGATACTATGTCTGAAAACTGTTACACCAAACAATACTACTATTCAATTTTGCAGACATTCAGTCTTTTGAACCACTCCAATAAAAGATTACTCCTTTTTGAGATGTCTTTAAAAGATACTTCATAATTGAAAGTGAAATGGCTGACATCTTAACAGTTTCAGTTTTGCCTTAGGGTTTCAGATGAGTAGTTTGTGACTATACATCTTAGTGTATAAAGTTTTAGATGAGTAATTGGTGATTACACATCTTAATATATGTCATAAAATCCTTCACAAATAAGTGTAGGTACATATGGATACATACAGGTAAATAATAGGTATGGACCTATCTGCCTGGCTTTGATGGATTTTTCATATTTGGTTTGTAGTTAGAATAGACAATTGTATTTGCATTTTTTTTGTGTGTGTGTGGGGGGGAATGTACAAAGATTAAAGATGTAGCACTGTGATCGTAGCATTTTAGAACTTTCAAGAGTTTTAGATCATTTAGTCTCACTTCTTTACAAATGAGAAAACCAGAGCTTTTAGAGGTTATCATGCCCATAGTCTCACAGCAAAGACAAGCCTCACAGAAGTTACAAGATAGTAGGAATCCAGCTCTCCTGACTGAGTTGTTGCATTTTCTAATGTGTCCTACTTCTTAATACCATACGGGGAAAACCCAAAAAGGCCATGTTAAACCTCCAGTTTTGACAAACTTATTGTATAAGGTTTTTCCATGCAAAGGATATATCTATACCAACAAATATGGAAAGGGGAAAATATTGCATGGATATTAAAAAAAGAAAAAAGTAGGAGTGCCAGCCTATAGATTCTACCATGTGTAGTTGCTTTTCTTCATCAGGTTTCTCTTCATCCTCATTATCATTACTTTTGGCCACCATCTTTCAAAAAAAAAAAAACCCACCATTTTTGCATAGTAGCTGAATTGGTCTCTGCTGTTAGGCTAGTCTTTCCTTGTGATAGTCCAACATCCAAGTTGCTCAGGGTCATTTTTCTGCAAATAAAATCAATCATGAAACATCTTGGAAAACCACAGTCTCTATCTTTCAAACCATCATATCCAATTTTAATTCCTTACTTTGGCATATAAAGCTATTTGCATTAGGATCCTAAAGTTTTTCTCGTCTTTATAGCCTTTATACTTGCCACCAACTCCCAGAGTTGGTGCAAGCCATGTTTCTGTAGCATTTTTTAGCACTTACTAAGTCTTTTTCATGTCTTTTTTTTTTTTTTTTTTACATTCAAAGTAAAGTGGTATTGCTCTGCCATTCCTCCCTCCCTTTTCTCCTCACTCCCATAAACTTGGTCAACTCCTGCTCATACTTCAATACCCTATTCAGATAGCTTTTCTTCTAGAAGCCTTCCTTTATTCACTTTATTAGTTGTGCTTGTGCCCCTCTTTGTTCTTAGGTGTATAATATCACTATAAGTAATGTTAATCTGCCCCGTAAACTATTAGCTACAAATGGGTCATCATTTATTTCCAGAGTCTTGTGCAGAGTTTGGCATATAATGGACACTCAGAAATTTTATTAAAAAAAAAAAAAGGTCCCACATTGGTAATACTGCCCTGATGTTTTCAGTAATTGTTTTGTTTTTTTTTTTTTAAATTTAACATTATTTGACAGAGACAGCATGAGTGGGGGAGGGGCAGAGAGAGAGGCAGTCACAGATTCTGAAGCAGGCTGCAGACTCCAAGCTGTTAGCCCAGAGCCTGACACAAGGCTTGAACTCATGAACTGTGAGATCATGACCTGATCCAAAGTCAAATGCTTAACGGACTGAGCCACCCAGGTGCCCCTTCAGTAATTGTTTTGAAAGCCTGCAATGCAGTGGTGTTACATAAGTGGTTACCATAAATAATTTTATAGCACTAATTAGATCTAGTGTAATTTTTTTTCTAAGAAATTATGTGCTGCTTTTTAAGACAGTTGATACATTTCTTTTAGTAGATTGATAAGGAACGTATGTAATTTTTTTGTTTTGAGTTAAGCATTTTTCCCTTTTAGGCCAGCTCTTGTAAAATTATTATAGAAATCTTGTGTTCTTTGCTTTCTCTATCTATTTTATAGAGATGCTTAGAAATTGTGGGCATTTGGGGCACCTGTATGGCTCAGTGGGTCAGGCATCTGACTTTGCCTCAGGTTATGATCTCACAGTTTGTGAGTTGGAGCCTCATGTTGGGCTCTGCGCTGGCAGCTCAGAGCTTGCTTGGAATTCTCTCTCTCTCTCTGTGCTCCTCCCTTGCTCTCGCACTCTCAAAAGTAAATAAACATTAAAAAAAAGTAGGCATTCCAACATATTTTACAAAATTTATTGATCTTACGGGTTTATGTTAATAAATTTAGTATCTTTAGTACTTAGTAAATCAAATAAACATTGGTTTATGTTTAAGTGGTTCTTCATTTATGTATTACAAGAACTTTTTGAAGCCCAGGAAAAGAAATATTTTCAATAAAATTTGATTGTTTAGAGCAGTGGTCGACAAACTTTCTTTACAAAGAGGCAGATACTAAATATTTTAGGCCTTGGGGGCCATACAGTATATGTTATAATTACTTGAATCTGCTGTTGTAGTGTCAAAGTATCCACAGACAAATGTGTAAATGAACACAAATTAGAACGTGTTTCAATAGAATTTTATTTATAAAACCAAGTGGTGAGCTCGCCTTGGCGGGCAGGCTGTAGTTTGCCCTGCTTAGTCTAGAACAGTGACGTCCAATAGATCTTCATGCAATGATGAACGTGCATCTATGCTGTAAAGTATGGTAGCCACTAGCCATATGTGGCTCAAGGAATGTGATTACTGTGACTGAGACACTGGCTAGTAGCTGTGATGTTGGACTCGGAAGGTTTAGTCTTGGGGACAAGTAGCTTAGCAACAACATTTATAATTTTCAAATCCATGAAGTGACATTTTAATTTTTTTTAAACTTGGTTAATCTCTACACCCAATGTGGGGCTGGAACTCAGCACCCTGAGATCGAGAGTTGCATGCTCCACTGACGTAACCAGCTAGGTGCCCCTGAAGAGACCTTTTAATAAAAATGTGTAATTGACGGTGTGGACAAATGAAATAAGAAAGCCCACGTGTTTTCTTTTTTTTTTCTCT